CTGAAACCTTGGGGCCACACAAGGTGTTCTAACTCTTTCTTTGTCAAAGTTGTTCCTGACCGCAAAAAGACCTGAATATACCATTAATCTCACATGAAACTGACTTAGGGAGCTGACTATGATAGATTTTACCTACTGAAGTCTACCAGCGTAGGAGAGAAATTTGCTGGTCCAGTGAGAGATTCTTCTGGTGATCTTCTCAACATGCTGTTTACAGTCATTTGCCTTCAGCCTTGTGGAGATTAGTGACACACCTAGATACCTTATAGGCAGGGAACCCATTCCAAAATCCTAAGAGATTTGAGATGCTCTGTTCTGAGGAAGGGGAAATGCCTGAAAAAAATACAATGGTTTTTGAGAAGTTAATGCTTAGGCCAGATTGCTTGGTGAGGTTATCTAATGCTAATTTTAAGGTTTTGACAGGGTCAAAATCCCCATGGGCAAGGAGCATTAGGTCATTCAAAGCTAAGGTGGGTGAGTTTATATTTTTTGCATCTCCAATGGAATCTGAAGTTGGGGTTGGTTGAGACATAGTGCTTAGCAATTGAAGAGAATATATCCGTGGCTATGACAACGAGAAATGGGGAATTATGGTCCCCTTTCCTAAGCCTTTGACCTTGCTAAAGTAGCCATGCAATTCTCTATTGATTGAGATGGAGAGCGAGGGAGTTGCAATGCATGCCTTGGTCCACACAATGAACATAGGAGGAAAGCTAAGCAAGGAAAGAGTTTCTAAAAGGAATTCCCACCAATTGAATCAAGGGCTTTTTGAATGTCAATTTTCATTGCACACCTAGGCTTACACAATGGCATGCTTCAAACTCCTAAGAATGTCTGAGTTCTTGTGAAAGAATGATGGAGTCTCTGATTTTCCTACCACTAAAAAATGCTGTTTGAGTAGTTTCAATGATACGAGGAAGGGTAGGCTTGAGCTTGTTGGCAATGAGTTTTGAAATGCACTTATAAATGACATTACAACATGAAATTAGCCTATAGTCATTATGGTAGCCCGACTGATTTGGTGATGAATGGTCTTAGAGCATCTCTACCTATGTATGAGGGAGGGTTTGAACCTAAAAGGATGTTGTAGTGACACAATACTTCAGATTTGTTGTTCTGCTCAGTCTCTAGGAGTGTTCCATCTGCTGATTTAAGGCAGGATAGTTCTGCAGCACAGACTCTTGAAGAGTAATGAGGAATTGCAATCTCCTTCCTGCAGCCATTTTATTCTTGATTTTTGCCTAAGCATTAGCTCTTCCTTCTCTGCTAGGCCTGTGAAAGCTTGGATAAGTTCCTTCTCCTGACTTCTGAGTTGCTGATTCGGAGGGGAGCTGTCCAAAGCAATCTGCAGGAAGAGAGCTCAACTTTAGTTGCCTTGGAGGCCGTTTCAGCATTTTCAGTTTCTGAGTGGCTTGAAACATAACTGTGCCCCTTACAAAGGTTATTCAGACCCTGTCGACAGTAGGATAGAACTGCACGAGACCACCAAGAGTTAAAAAGTATCTAAATGGAATTAATCTCCTTGGCTTAAGGGTCCCCAAATTGCCAAGGATGGGGCTGTGATCGGAGACACCTGGGGGAGAAAAGAACTAACATAGGGAATGCAGAGTTCCAAGAGGAGTTGATGAGAGATCTGTCTATTTTTCTTGCAATGCTGGCACTTCCAAGACTAATAGGTAAATATGATACCATTGAATTTCAAATCTTCTAATCCAGCTCAATGGATGCTGTCTTTGAATTCTGAAATGGCATTAATTGATCTGCCAGCACCTCCCAGACATTCATTCAAGTTTGAAATCTCCTAGGAGAATTCAAGGGCTATTTGATAAGAGAGGAGAGTAATGAATGACATTATCCTAGAGGCTTCCTATCAGAAGCTGAGTTGCAAGCATAGACAAAGGAAGTGAAAAAGGATGAGTTTGCCCTGTGATTGTCACTGTGCAGTGGATTACCTGCTTTTACTTGCATTGATCACATTATAAGGTACCTTTTGAGCATCTTTCCTGTAATAACCCTTGCCTACAAACCATAAGGTAAAGAAATGCTTGGATAAAATTTGGGCCAAATAGATTAGATCACTGTAAGTCATGGATAAAAAAAATAAATATTAAAATTAGAACCTTAGTGACTAGCTGAGATATAGCAAAAGAGAGAAAATTTGATAGATACCTAGATACTGCAGTAAAATCTTTTTAGATTAAATTATACTACATTACATATTTAACAAGTTTGGATTCAAATTTAAACATGTCAATTTTGGGATAAAGATAAGTTATGATTTGAATCAATAACTTGGACTGCGTTAATGCAAGGATCATAAACATGGATTATAAATATATATACTTGATGTAACTTTAAGATCCCATGGAAGGGGAATGTACACATTTATTTCTAATAATGATTGCCAACTTATCAAACAAAAAAGTCTAATAATGCTCTACCCAAAGGAAATCCAAAATAATACAGTAAAATTATCACAGTAAGTGACTTATACCACTAAATCCCCGACTGGTAGCTTGTACATGAGTCTAGGTCATGTTTTAAGCGTACAGTGTGTGTATTATGGACTAGATTGTCTAGTTGTGCCAAACAGGCTTTAGGGAAAAAGGGGGTAAAAAAACAGGCCATTAGCCTCAGCTTGTACACGAGTCTAGGTCATGTTTTAAGGGTGTACAGTTTCTGTATTATGGACGCGTAGGAAACCAATTATATATTGAAAGGAGGTCGGCAAGCTTGGGAGGTATATTTGTATTGTAATGTAATACACCGACTTAAAGGGAACCAATATGGGACATGCACATGATGTACAATTAGTGTACTGTTTGACGTGATTTCATGTTAAAATTGAAGAGAGAGAGAAAAATGAGGCACACAAGGCTCAAAGGGCTACATCACCTTATTATATTCTTTAACATTGTTTAGAATGAGCACCTCTATTTATAGGTGAAAGAATACAAGAGATAAATATGAAAAATACATTGATAGAGGATTTTTAAAATCAATCCCATAAATAGCTTCAATTAATATCTTGTCATAGGCTAAAATCACTCATATGATATTCTCATAACAAGATTATATCAAGGAGTAATTTAAAGGTTCCTATAATAATATTGTTTAACAAAATTCAATAATAATAATAATAATAATAATATTAAACAACAATAACGACGATAATAATAATATTTCAATATGGAGATCCATCTTATATGACCATAAATAATCACATTGCCCTTTTTGAACCAAATCGATCAACAAAGCATATAAGCGACCTAAAAACCACCAATCAAGAGATAGTATGGAGTCTCGTATTTGAAGAGTAATTGGGAACTCGGAACTATCCACACAAACGTCCTCACTCCAAAAAATTGCTAGACCACTTGCCGTGCCGTAATGATTATAATAGCAACAATGGGTAAACCCAATCTTCCTTCGAATCTCTTCCAACTACACAATTGTCAGACGTATGATAGGTCTTGGATATATATTACTAGATCTAGAGAGAGAGAGAGAGAGAGAGAGAGAGAAGGAAGAAGAAGAAGAAGAAGAAGAGGGATCATTAGAGAAGAAGAATAAGGAAGGGGTATAGCTTTCGATCCGAAAGTTTAAGATAAGTTCTATATTCTACAATTCTCCCTTAGATCTGTGATTTATATATCTCTAGTATAGCTTTAGGAATGTTTAAAGAATTATTAAAATCTGAATCCATGTTTAAATTGATCTAGAATATAGGTTTTTATGGGTTTGTGTTCATAATTGTTCTTATTGTATGAATTGGTAAATTCATGGCTTAGATATGATTTTTGATGAATTTCTACATGCTATAATGATGTATTTTCATGCTTGGGTGTTGATGGGATTTAGTAACATGCTTTAGGACCCTTAACAATGGAGAATATGGCTTAAAATTGGGTTTCTCGGGCTGTTTCACGAAACAGTGCCCGAACACACTTTTCTGGGAAACAGTGCTCGAGCACACTAAGGAGGGTGCTCGAGCACCATCTGGGGATTTTTGCTTAAAATGTTTAAATTGACCCCGAATTGATTATTTAAGGTCCTGAAAGCTAAATAGGGACTTAGGTATGATGATATGTGAATTTAAATAGGCATAAATGCAACGATGCATGCAATTTGAATTTATTTAGTAAAAAATTGATGAATTTAATCTTTTAATTTGTTTTAACAATTGAAATTAAATGTTTAGCATGAGATATGTTTAGAGAATGCTTACAGGGCTGTAAAGATAAAATATCAGCATGTTTAAGATTCAGTTTATGTGAGATAAATGATGTAAGAAACTTAAATAAATTATAAGTCATTCATGTGATTTGATAACATGAAATTATATGTTATGTGCTGTTATGATATGATATGATTATAATTAATTGCATATCTATATTTTATAATCTTGAAACATGATATATATATATATATATATATATATATATATATATATATATATATGTTTGAATTTGATTGAGGACCAATGTCAGGATTTGGTTCTATGTATGCCATTGTCAGGATATGGTTTTGTTTTGTATTATGTGGATGAACTGGCTAATAAGTTTAGACTCATTCTATGTCAAGCCTATTGTCAGGATATGGGTGTAGTTGTTATCTGTTAACCATTGTCAGGATATGGTTAGTTATATCTATAATGATATTATGTGTACCATGATACGAGTTTGAGATCTCATGATCAGTGGTTAGGGTGGAGGCGTATATTGTCAATTAAGATGGGTAACTGGATTAGGGATGTGTGTGTGCCCTGGTAGAAGGAGGACTCGTGACCACCTTTGTGTGCGATTTGTATGAGATAACCACTACACGGTTGAGTCTGCCTTAATTCAGTTGGAGTCTTTAGTGTGTATATTTATATATTTATCGATTATGTAATTATTGCATGAGTTAGCTATAGATGTGTAGTTTTCTCCGGTCTCTATTTGGATTGTCGTAGAAAGGATTTGTTGTGGGTTTTGACCTACCATTGTTATATTTTTCAGGTCCTCGTCAGTAGCATTGTTATCAGTTGTTCGTGCAGGTCAGAGACTTGGCATCATCACTCTTCCGGTGGTATTGACGTAGGATTTTATCTTTGGATTAGTGATTTAAGTTATTAGACATTTTATTTATTTTCAGTTATGAGATTTTATTAGGGGTCTATACTTGAAGATTCTCAAGTTGTATTCTTTTGGAGAATTTTATCTTTAAAGATTAATGGATTTTATTCAGAGGATATTATTTATTAGTTTTCCCGCGATATTATTTATTTATTCTTTTTGTATTGTGTGTTCGATTTAAAATATTAATTGTTTGATATTACCCTTGGTCTCGTGCACGGACCTGATCAACTCGTGTTTCGGAATCGAGGGATATCACATATATATTATAAAATCTATTTAGTTTGCAAAGGGAGGTAAGGGGTTCGGGTTTCCATGGAGGCGTGTGTGAGTATCAATTATGAAAAAAAAAAAAAAAAAAAATCTATTTAATTTGCATAATATATATATATATATATATATATATATATATATATATTTATTTATTTATTTATTTATACACACACACACACACACATAAATCCATGGCCTTAAGCCTTCTTAGTTTGTTGAGACTTCTTTCTCTGACTTAATACCAATCATTTTGGTTCACTTCCTTAACCCAGTCCCTTTAAACCTTAATAAGTAAACAATTAAAATAAAAGATTAAATACACAAAATTCACAAATAAATCTACATATGCATACACACAACATAGTCATCATACATTCAATCAATAATTGCATTCAAATTAAATAACATGCACATGCCACATCATCAAATAATTATAAATGAATAATTAATAATTTAAATACTCCATTAGAATCAAATAACTATTTAAATCAAAATTAAAAGCAATTATTTTTAATAATTAAATCCTTTAAAATACCAGGGTATTACATATGGATTTCGGAGTCATATACTTTGGAGATTAGTTTTATAGATGTAATGTAACTTATGGAGATTTTATTATTTGAGTAATGATAAATTATTATTTTAGTTTTCCCTTTTTAGTGATATTATTTATTTTATTGTATTCCTTTTTTATTTTGTGTTCGTTTATTATTAATTGTTTTTTTTTTTATATCTCCGGGTTTCGGGTGTGGCCTTGCCAACCTACACGTGAAAATTCGAGGGTATCACAGAGAGTGTGTTACGGGTGAGGGGAGGAGAGACTGGCTACAAAATCTCAGATTTTTGGTCCCCTTTCACATGTATAGTCAAACCACGAGTCCCACCCTTGGCATAAATTGCCCCATCCGTGTGATTTATACTACAATCATGCCACAAATTGAATTTAACCACACACACACACACACACACATATATATAATCCACCAAATAATAGAACTAATATGATACAATGATGTCAGAAAAATTTTCGAGCATGTAAATCTAGGCGTGGGGCTCACACAGGACCTTCCGGTTCAAAAATTTAAAAAATGCTAAAATGGATAAAAATACATTTTTTAGAGTTCAAAACTCAAAGCAATGTCCCAAATGACTCCCGGGACACGAAAAGTGATACATTGAGAAAAAAAATAAAAAATCCAAAAAAATACAGAAAATTACAAAAATGTTACAATCTCCCTAACTTAAAAAATTTCGTCTTCGAAATCAAGTCATACTTGGGGAAGAAAATAAGTCTGGATACTTGGAATGAACTTCCTAGTCTCGCTACCAAGTAGCCTCTTCCATACCATGGTATCTCCACAGGACCTTCACTAACGGAATCATCTTGTCCTTCAACTCCTTCTCACGTGTGTCAAGGATCTGGACTGGTCTCTCCTCATAAGTCACTTCCTCATCAACCTCGACATCAACCCAACTTAAAACATTGGACGGATTCACTCATACTTTCGTACATAGACACATGAAAGACATTATGGATTATGTCCATCTGCAGTGGTAACGTAAATCTGCAGACAACTTCTCTAATACACTTCAAATTTTCAAACGGGCCGATAAATCGTGGAGACAACTTGCCACACTTCCCGAATCTCATCAATCCCTTATGTGAAGTAACCTTAAGGAATACATGGTCCCCACTCTCCGTCTACCTGCACAACTTTTTTGTCGATTCTGAGCTGTGATCAATATATGCTTAATCAACTTGATCTTCTCAGTAGTCTCATATACGATATCCGGTCCCAAGGAGGCTATCTTGTCCACCTCCGTTGAGTCCCGGGAGTCATTTGGGACATTTCTTTATCTTTAGAACTCTTAGAAATGTATTTTGGTCCAATTTATCATTTTTTGAATTTTGGAACCGGGAGGTCCCGTGTGGGCCTTACGCTCGGATTTACTTATTTGAAAATTTTTCTGACATCATTGCATCATACTAGTTCCATTATTTGGTGCATTATTTGTATATTTATATGGTGAAATGCAATTTGTGGCATGATTGTAGCATATATCACATGGAGGGGGCATTTTAATACATAGGTAGCCAAAGGTGGGACCCATCATTTAACCACACATGTGAAAAGGGAACAAAAATCTGAGTTTTGTAGCCATTCTCTCCTCCTCCCATCTGTAACACACAGTCTCTCTCTCTTCTCATTCATCTTTTTCTTTCCTTTTACAAACCCATTTCATGTAAGCTTTGATTTTAGTTCATATTTGTAGATTAAATCATTGTTAATCAGAATTTAAAAACATGTTTATGATCCTTTACAATTTTGTATATATATTTATATATATATGTTATGTTTGCTCTTGTATGTTGGTTTAATTTTTGTAAATTTGAAATGGAGATTTGAACCCTAACACGATTAATCGATGTAAATTTGATTGAAATCAACCTATAAGGTTCAACTATGGACCAAGAGGGTTCATATAGGCTTCTGGGATTATTCTGGATTCTTTCTAGATTTTTCTGCATATTTTTTAGAAATTTTTTTTTTTTGTTTCTGGGCTGTTTTAAGCTCTCTAGAAGTTCTGGCGGACTTCTAGCGAGGTTTCGATCATCGGTGACGGCGAGTAGTGGAATGAGATCCGGTATAGCGCAGTGTATGAAGTTATGGTACGCGTGGATCTGAACTTTTGATGCGGCATGATAAAACGGGCTCAAATCTAGTGCGCGCGCTCACACTGTAATGGCGCATGGAACAACCGAATGATCAAGTATGACCGCGCTTACAGTAATGCATGAGTCTAGTCATGATTGTGCGCGTGCAGGAGTGTGAGAGCGTACCAGTGTAAGTGAGAGAGAGGGAAAGTGCGTGGGGGCGCGTGTGAAGTCCTTAGAGGTGCGTTAAAAGCCTCGTGGACCCTTAGAGTTAATTTTACGCTCCTTAATGCTGGAAACACTCATTAGAGAATGAATTTTTGGTATTTTTTTAGAGTCGTAGAGTATTACCAAAATATTTTACTAGTATTTTTGAACTCGATTACAAAATAGTTTGCGTTGAGGGGATTATGTTACCTTGGAATTAATAAGGATAACGGGTAAATTTATTATATGGTATATGTATATTAAATTCTATTAAGCGTATTATGATTATATTGTAATAAATGGATAAATGAAAATTATCATTTTATGGTTTTATTTTAGGTTATGAAAGCCACTGTGAGCTGACTAATAGATGCACTCTCACTATTACCAAGGCATGGCTGAGTTGCCAAGACATGGTTGAGTTGTCTAGGTATGTAGTTAATTTTAGCACTGCTTATCATCCTCAGATAGATGGACAGACCGAGAGAGTCAACCAGATTATGGAGGATATGCTTAGAGCATGTGTCCTTGATTTTAAGGGCAATTGGGTGGATTACTTGTCACTTGCAGAGTTTGCTTATAACAATAGTTACCAGAAGACTATTGATATGTCACATTTTGAGGTATTGTATGGCCGACCGTGTAGATCTCCTGTTTGTTGGTTAGAGGTTGGTGAGAGCAGATTTTTGGGTCTTGAATTCATTAAGGATACCTCTGAGAAGATTGTTCTTATTTAAGATCGTATGCGCACTACTCAGAGTAGACAGAAGAGCTATGCTAACCGTTGTACTCGTTCACTAGAGTTTCAAGTTGGGGATCAAGTTTTGCTCAAAGTTTCTCTTATGAAGGGAATGATACGCTTTGGGAAGAAGGGGAAGTTATCGCCACGTTTCGTAGGTCCATTTATGATTACGGATTGTGTGTGAGCTATAACTTTTCGATTAGCATTCCCGGACCATTTACATTGAATCCATAATGTTTACTATGTTTCTATGTTGCGAAAATTTTTGCGTGATAAGGATCGTTATCAACATATAGATGTTGGTGAGATAGAGTTGCAGCCGGATGCAACATATGTAGAGCCATCTTATCGTATTCTTGATCGTATGAATCAGGTGTTTCGCACCAAAGTTATTTATCTTGTATGTGTTCAGTGGAGCCATCATAATGAGTCCAAATCCATTTGGGAATGGGAAGATGAAATGCGTTCAAAATTTCCAGAATTGTTTAAATAAGATATGTGGTGAAATCTGGGGATGAAATTCCTTTGTTAGGGGAGAATATGGATGGCAATGAGGCGGGGTGGGGCAGGGATCTCATTCCCATTCCCCATCCCCATCCCCATCCCCATCCCCGATCAAATTTTTTACCCCTATCCCCGCCCCCATACCCGTTTAATTTTCAACCCCCTTCCCCATCCCTACCCCACCCCGCCACATTAGCCCCCGTCCCCGCCCCGCATAATATTTTTTAAATTCCAATTCACCTTCAACAAAATCAACACAGTCATAATATTTTTCAACTTAATAATTTAATAAAGCTTCATCACAATTATAACAATTTATAACATGATCAGATGTTTGATGCACAGCGACTATGTTTTTTCTCTATGCTGCGAGGGAATAGATCTAGGGTTTCACTTTCAGAAGTGAATATATTATGTATATGGTTATGTAATTTAGTAATATTTTATAACATGTAAGGGTAATTTTGTAAAAATGCATTATAACGGGGCGGGGCGGGGTTACCCTCCCCCCGCCCCTGCCCCTGCCCCTGCCCCTGCTCCCATCCCCGTCCCATCTCCCCGCTGGGGTTTCAAATACAATCCCATCCTCTCCCCATTTCCATAAATGGGTCCCCAAACCCGCCAAAAACAGGGCAGGGTGGGGCGGGGACCCGCCGGGTATGGGGATTTTGCCATCCCTAGGGGAAAAGAATGTAATACCCCTAGTTTTTAGAGTATTTAATTTATTATTTTAATTGCATTTTAATTATTT